TATTTGATCGGATAACATATAATTTTTGGGGGACTTTGCTATTTTTTTTTTTCTGTCAACATTTTTTTGAAACATTATAATCTGTTATTTTTTGCATTATCCTTTCATATTGATCAGTTTTCTCTTTTCCTCTGAAAACCTTTTCATTACGCTTACATGATTTTTCCCCCTAGCTTATAATTTCATGCACACCATATTTTATAGTATAATTTTATAATGTCCAAAACATTAACTTGGTCTAAAAAATCATACGAAAGCCTTTAAGATCTCATTTTATCGACTATACCATAATCTACCCCTTTTTAAAATCACAAAGTCATAATCTTAATCATAATTCAAAGTAATCCATATGGATATGATTACTTCTATTTAGCAAAAAAATAATGATTACCTCTGATTAGAAGAAATGGATGATATATCTAGTTTTGAAATTGTTTGATTTTCATTCGTATTGGGTCGATCGATGTAGGAGGAGGCTAAATTAGTTTGTTAATGGGTGATCAAAAAAGGCTTCAAAGCCCAATTTTGTTAAACATACAAATTGCTGAATTTCGACTTTCGAGACACAAAGCTCCTCCGTTGGTCGCTCGCCAGAATCTGCTTACTCGTCGGAATCCTCCTTCTCGTCACCTTCACGGAGGTACTGATAAATTTTCTCGGCGAAGTCGAAGTATTACTATTCGTTTTCAACAATTTCATTGGTTTTGATTTCGATTAAGCTTCTTAGAATATAGATTCAGTTTTGTTAGGGTTTTAGCGTGGACAATGTTTCGGTGATTTTAGTATCTCGAATTCGAACCAAAATGTGTAGAGGTTTAATTTCCGACTTCGTGGTCTGATTTTTCCGATTGTGTTGTTCTTAGATAATGAGTTTAGAATACAGTACAAGGAGCAGGAAGATTCCTTCTGATCGTTTTTCTTACCGTGATGATCCTTACCGAAGAGATTCACATCGGAGTTTCAGGTTTCTCACTTCACTTAGCTCTACCAATCGCTTTTAAAAACTCAGAATTACATATTTCATTCATAAGCTAAGCTGTATTGTTACGGTTTCTCGTTTGTGCTAAGAAATTGCTTCTTCCTTGCTACATTGAATTCTCTTTGCAGCCAAAGTATTACTTGCAACAACTGCAAGCGACCTGGTCATTTTGCTCGAGAATGTCCCACCAATGTCTCAATCTGTCACAATTGTGGCCTTCCTGGGTAACTATTCATTCTCTGCTTCGCTTTCTTACTCGATCTTATGATTTGTGTATCACTTTTTTTAAGTTGGTTTAGATTGTTATTGGTACACATCTAGGTTAGTGCATCGCTTATTTAGGCTATTTAGTTGGGTTGATATGTCTGTGTGTGTGCTTCTTTAGATTTTTCTAATCCATTAAGTACTCGGTACCATTTACGATAATTGATATTAGCCTAGTCTTTATAAAAAAAAACTTGGCAGGCACATTGTATCAGAATGCTCCACAAAGTTGCTGTGTTGGAATTGCCGTGAACCGGGTCACATGGCTAATAGCTGTACCAACGAAGGCATTTGTCATAGCTGTGGTATAGCCGGACACCAAGCAAAAGACTGTACGGCTCGCCAGCTCCCGCCTGGAGACCTTAGGCTCTGCAACAACTGTTACAAGCAAGGTCACTTTGCAGCGGATTGCACAAACGAGAAAGCTTGCAACAACTGCAGGAAGACGGGTCATTTAGCTCGTGATTGCAGAGACGATCCAGTGTGTAATCAGTGTAATGTGGCTGGTCACCTTGCTATTAAATGCCCAAAAACCGAGGTTGTAGGAGACCGAAGACCACGCGGGATCAGAGGAGGCAGAGGAGGCCAATACATGGTGGAGGTGGTGTGCAGGAACTGCAGGCAAGTGGGTCATATGAGCAGAGACTGCAGTGCTCGGTCAATGATATGTCGGAATTGTGGTGGAAGGGGACACATTGCGTATGAATGCCCTTCTGGAAGATTTGTGAACCACCAGTATTCCTTATGGTCCTGAGGTCCTCTTGCGTTTTTGCTTAGTTTCTTGTGTTATTTGGAAAATTGATTTCATGTTAAAGGAAATTATTTGAAACCATATTAAAATTGGGGCAATTACAAAAATACCACATTTGCAAGAATGCCACTGGGTATCTATTTACAAAAATGTCACT